ATCACTAGTAATTATTATATTTTTTAAAACATAATAAAAACATAATAAATATATAATAATAATATTTTTTATTTTTTATAGTTTCAGTAAAGTCTTAACCTGTCAGCAGATAGCGTATAAGAACTATCTCTAAACGACAAGTGCTATAGCCCAAATTGTTATCTAAATTACAAGTTAAAACTAACCCAGTTACCAACTTGGTACCTATGTTCGACCTGCTATAGCAAGATTTTCCTCCTTCCGGACCTCTCCTGCACTTAGATATGATCTGGCTTTTAACAGTAAACCTTGCCGCCCGTCATAACTACTTTTTCCTTCTTTCAAACTTCTTCTACCTAAGCCTAACAACAACAATTAAAACCTTTATTTATATATAAAAGTGAAAAAAATGAAGCCATGTTTATAAAAGACATAAGCATTTTAGAAAAAAAAACACTTCACGGTGGGAAAAAAAAGACTTTTCAACAAATTCTAAAATAGTCTAACATAAATGAACAAAGATGAAAAAAAAGAAAGATAGCTATGACACACTATTATAGCCTGTGCCAGGTATAAGGATAAAAATTATATAATAATTGCAACTAATTACTATATCTCAATTGTAAACCGACAGTTTAGCTTTGGAACTCGTTCCAGGCACTGACTTGACTCAGGTATCTCCTAAACGAGGGTAGTAATCTCTTCCCTGTACTGTAGCACTATATTCGCAAAACAACAAAACACGTAGTTGCCTTCTACTGAGTTTATCCTGATTTGGTAAGTATAAACAATGCCAATCTTTTGTAAAGGTAAGCCAAAATGCCCACTTTTTATTGAAAAATTTTGGTAGGACCGGCACAAAACGACGAAGAGAGAAAGACCTCTTGATACCACTTAAAGGAAAGTAAGTTACTAGAAACAACAGAAATAGTCTTCTTTCTAGCCAGAACTGCGCTACTCATATTTTGTCGGTAAGTGATAAACTCTGAACTTGTTGTCAGATAGCGTATGAAAACTATTTCTAAATGACAAGTGTTAGGTTTGCAGTAAGTGATAAACTCTAAGCCTGTCAGCAGATAGTGTATGAGAACTACCTCTAAACAACAGGTGCTGATTTATGGTTCCTCTTTTTATGTCTTATATAGTTTGGCTAGTTAGTTTCTACTGTTTTTATTGAAAAGTTTTTTCAGCAAAATTTGGTTTAAGTAATCATCAGAAAGAGTTAATTGTTTATTGTATGAAAACTTTTATTTTTTTTATTTTATGTTTATTTTATTTTTTTTATTTTGTTTTAATTTTTCTTTTTTTTATATTTTAGCTTGCATTTATACTATACCTCAAGAAGACTTTTCATTGACACTATAACGGAAAGATTGTCAGTGATGCAAGCAATAGCAGATAACATCTGAAATTCATTTTTAGTAAGTATATTTATAGTTTGGTCTTTAATAAAGAATCCTCTATGCTATTCTGCTATTAAGTTGATAATATTGATAATATGTTCTTGATGTTCCTTTAGGATCATAAATCCATAGATAGAGTTTCCGGATGCATTAGTCTAGCCATCTAGGCAAATTGTAGTATTAGTGAAAGTTAACATTAGGGTTAGTTTTTTTTGAAAGCAACCAGAGAACTTTTCTGTTAAGATATGTTCGCATAACATGTTTCTGAAAAGAAGTTGATAGCTTGGAGCTAAGTCTTGAAGAAAATCTTAAAAATAGGGATTTTTAGCGAAAGTAAAAAAAATATTGCTATAAATAATGGAGTTTAAAAACTTGGAATGAAGTTTTTTGAATTGAATCTGAGATATAGGCTTGATACACCAATTTATAATACTTTTTTATTTAGTTAATGTGGATAAATAAAGTCCTTCTTGAACATCTTCACTTGTGGATATATCTTGATTATGTTTAATTCTTTTACATTCTGGAATTGTTTCTTTAGAGACTTCTTTGAGATAATTGGTTTTTGGGGTAGTTGGCCAGCTATTACACTTAAAAATATATTGGTAAAGCCTATTAGACTTACCTTTGAGTTCAGATAGGCAATATTTACACTTAGCAGTATATCTATTTCCTGTTTTTTTGTCAATAGAGTACCAAAACCCAGTTTATTGAGTGCCTTGGTTAGAAAGTGTATGAGTAAAATCTTTAGAAGGTTTCATAATTTAAGAAAAAGAGATATATACAAAAATTTTCTTTCTTTTGTTACTTTTAAATTATTTATTAATACCGAACTTATTGTTACTATATTAGCTTACCATATTATGCAAGATAATGTCACTTGTACATTAGTTATAATATGTTTATGCGTATGATTTTGAAATAATGAACCTGGGGCACATATCTAGCCTATTGAGGAATTTGGCTAAAAAGTATAAGTAAAAATCCTCATAAGGTTCCATAATGCATAAGTGACATTATCCTGCATAATACGATAAGCTAATATGGTTACAATAGGCTTGATGACAAAGAAAAGAAAATTTTTATATGTATTTCTTTTTTCAAATTATAATACACTTATGTGTATTATTTTGAAATAATAAATTCAGTGCATATACAGAGAACCCTCCCTAAATGCACCCTCTTTGGACCAAGCCCGGGTATGCATTTAGAGAGGGTGTGCATTTAGGGAATATCCTTTCTTACATGACAAATTCTTATTATCGGTCATACAAACCTATGTACATACGTATATATGTACATGCATACCAATACTTGTAGTATTTATGAAGGCTTTTACATATCTCTGTTTATTTTATTTGTCATATTCCCATAGTTATACTACTTTATATATATATTTGAGCAATTTACAGTTACTAACTTTACATTAAATTAATCAGAAGAGTCATTTACAATTTCAGTGATAATTTTAAAAAAAAACTTATTTTAAAAACATTAATATGGTTTATTTAAAGCATTTTAATATTTAACAGTTAATAAAAAATATAATTTTTATGAAAGAAGTTACTGAGCTCAAATAGGGTAAGGAACAATAAGAATTTACTTTTATAAATTAAAATATTGATTCAAATTTGTTTGTTTCATCAAACCAACTCGTTTCACATTAACAAATTTTTCAATACTATTAATTTTTTTTATATACTCACCCGAATCTTCTTGCTGGAGTAAAAATGTATACATTACTTCCAAGCTTTTTAGTGCTCGTCTATGTTTATAATTGCTATTTCAACACTGTCATCTGCTTCATCAGAATCTTCACTATCAGATTCTTCAGGTCTTTCTTTAAATATTCAATTATTTCAGCCATCATAGCATTTTCATCAATAATTTTACAAACTTCTTCTTCTTCTGGAATAGCTAAAAAATCAACTACCTCTATTGAATTAGATAAATTAAGATTTCTAATCGAATTTGAAAGATTCAACAGTTCATCAGTTTCTTCGATCTCTTGATTATTTTCTAAAGAAATTTCATTATCATTATTTGAAAGGATTTTGGTATGACGCCAACAATTATAGATTGTTCTTTCTTTAACTTTATTCCATGCTTTAATAATATAGCGAATTCCTCGTAAGATATCTATCTTCAGATTCTTCACATTTTTTTCATTTTCAACTTCTTCCAACATCCACTGAATATGAAACTGACAATAATTTCTTTTGAATGCCATTATGATTCCAGCATCCATTGGCTGGATTTTGGAGGTTGTATTTGAAGGTAAAAAAAGAATCTCAATATTTGGCAAATTTAAGCCATCTGCATTATGACTTAAGCAATTGTCAAGAACTAATAAAACACATTGACTATTATGTTTATTTGTATTTTGCAGATTAAACCAATAAAGCCACTCTTGAAAAAGAGTTATAAGCATTCAGGCTTTGGTATTATTACAATAAAGGATTGGTAAGTTAGAAATCTTAACATTTTTAAAGCATTGTGGTTTTGCATATTTTCTGATTATCAAGGGATTCAGTTTATGGGAACCATCAGTATTCGCACATAGTGCGATAGAAATTCGCTCTTTGTTTCTTTTATACCCAGTAAGGCGTTGTATTGCTAATGAATAATCAGGTTCCAACCTGTAAAAAAAAGCCATTTCATCCATATTGTAAATTTGGTTAAGAGAATATTCAAACCATTTTTCTTGTAATAAAGAAAGAGAGTTAATAATAACAGCATTATTAACTGATCCTGCTTCTCCATGTAATTTTTCTTTATAAATTCTATTCTGTTTTTTAAATTTATAGAGCCAACTTGAAGAAAATTGTAATATACCTTCTGGAATTCCTAAACCTTTAGAAAGTTGCTTTGCCTTTTCAATCAACATAGCTTCACTTATAATTATACGATGCTGATAAGTTAATATGAATTCTTTAAAAGCTAATTCAAAATGAGGAACAGTAACAGATCTATTTTGCCTTTTATTTGGGTTATCAATTTCAGCAGTAAGCTGTTTTTCTTTTGTTTGCAAAATTCTTGTAATGGTTGACTCATGAACTTTAACACTCTATTTATTTTCAATTCATTCTACATATTTACTTCGAGTCATTGTATTTTCATTGGCAAAACAACAAAATTCAAGTTTTTGAACATCAGTTAAGGTGGTTTTAGGTGGCATGATAATTATTAAGAGGCTTTTGATAATGGAAAAAAAATCAAAATTTTCAAGTTAATTGCTAACACAAATAATTTGATTTTTATAGCCTATTTTATATATCAAAAAAAGATTCTATCTTATTCCGTTTGATTTATCTACTTTATTGAACAAACAAGTTCTTATATTCAAGGCTATATTAAAGAAGTATTTTTGTACAAATTAATTTTTATAGGCATTTGATTTATTTAATTACTAACTTTTTATCTTTTTGTGAATTCGAAGCATCTTCTAAATTCACAGTACTAAGCCTATTCCTCTTTTTAGATTACAGTATTTCCCACATTCGTGTTTGACTATGAACATAATTACTTTCTTATTTTGGGTTAGCAACTTTGAGTTTATCAGATTATGTATATCTTGAAGTCATATACATAATGAATAATAATAGATTATATATTACGATTCATATAAATAATTATTTTTGAAACATACTGTTGTGAGGTTAAGTGATACTCCCAGTATAGTACTGAAATCTAACTAAATATGGATCTAATAAATACTCGCTTGTTTATTATCTTCATTTAACAACAATAATGGCAAAGTTAAGTATTATTCTCTTTATTTAATTGTGCTTTTAATATGTAAGATTCTAAAACTAAATCTATTTCTTTAATCCTACATTATTTATTTATATCTACATATATATTATACAATTACATTATCTGATTGTCATTACAATAATGACACTATTATTAGTTTAATATCTAAGTTTGATTTAACTTTAAATATTGTTTTGTATAATCAATTTGATCTTTAATTGTCGCTCTTGCCATCACTCATGTAATATCTACTAATATGCCAACTTATAATCTAATTCTGCATTATATATTACTTGGCTACAAATTAAAATTTTAATAAAATAAATTCTTTGCTTTGCAATGAAATCTCTAAAGTAGCAAATTACAATATATAGCAAAGGTGCATTTAAAGAAATTATTTTTATATATGTAATATATAGATGAGATCTAAAAAATTATTGCACGTGCAAGTTAGGGAGGGTGCACTTAGCTCTTAAGTCCCAAGTATGGGATCGGGTTTAAAAGTGCATATATAGAGGGTGTGCATTTAGAGAGGGTACATTTAGGGAGGGTTCTCTGTATAATACAACTGTAAAAGAAATCTAACAATATTAATAATATTTTTTATTATTTTATATTCAAATTTATAGGTATAGAAATATGAGCCATTATTCATCAGATACAAATTTAATAGTAAGTCCACTAGATATCTATTGGATTTACTTCAAAATTTATCCAATAGATAATGAATCATATTTCTAATAGGGCAGAATAAATTATAAAGATCTTTAGTAAGATATTCAGGTGATCTTATAAAATTAGTTAATTGCCAAGTATAATATATATATTAAGAATTACAGATTGCAAGCAATAAGCATTTTAAAAATTTTATAAATTATATACCAGATTCTTAGTTTAAATTTTTGCATTCTATGGATCTTGTATACAAATTTTAATAAAGTAATTATCTAATATTTTAATATATTTAATAAAAAATTGCTATTGTGATTTTGGGCCAATAGAATTGCTCATTAATGTCATGTGACTTGGCATGGACATGCTTTTTGCTTTTTGGCATGCCCATGCTCCTGTGTTTACAACCCTAGTCACCTGGTGTAGTGATATACTTGATGAATATATACAGGGTGTAAGTGAAGAGCAGCTTTTACTTTACTAGCAGAAGGCAAATGAATTGAGATAGTAACAGTATATAACAACAGATAGTAATAAGCCTTGCCTGTAGGAATTACTCTAGAGGGTGAATACTTTACAAAAGGAAATAAGAAAAGTATTTAGTGCTATGAAAGGGTGTAGAAACTCTAAACTGAACAGAAGAGGCAAATACACTCTTTATATATCTTTTACATGTCAAATCAAGGTAGTAGAGGGAGTTGAGAGCCATGTTGAAGGAGTTGAGAGTTGTGTTGAGGGAGTTAAAAGAGTTGAGGGTTTATTGTGGGAGTTGAGAGATGTATTGAGAGAGTTGATGGCTATGTTAAGGAAGTTAAGAAATGTATTGAGGGAGTTGATGGCTGTATTAAAGGAATAAAGAGAGTTGAGAGTCATATACAGTCGATACTATCTAATTGCATACCATCCATCAGAAACTTTTTCATGCATATAGACAGTATACAGTCGTACCTAAGTTATATCTCCATTAGGTTATATTCTCTCTTATTTATTCTTTTAGTTATATCCCCATATTTAGACAGAATAAATTTCTTTTTTTTATATGTTTTATATATTGAGTTATATCTTAACCTTAGTTATATCTCCAAAAAAATTCAAAAACATATAGAGACAAAAAGGGGTGATATAACCCAGGTATGACTGTATGCATTTAAGTTATAAGAACCATTTTTGTGTTAATAGTTAAAAGCCAAAATTTTTTATGCAGTTAGAGAGTATGTGCAATTAGACAGCATGCAATTAGATAGTATCGACTGTATAATATTTTTACTTAATAAAGACTCTGTTAATACTTATACTAATAATAATACATAATACAAATATAATAATAGATATCCGATATAAAATACAAGTTAATAATTATAAAGCTAAATAATAGAGTATAAATTATATGCTATGCTATGCAAATATACAAAAACCTATTTTACAACAATATATATATTATAATTTATAGTTATTATGTTGGCCTCCATTGGCTTCATTGGCAAATTATTCCCAATGGAGGGAGCAATGGAGCAATGCCAATGAAGGTCTTCTCCATTGGGCCCAATGGATAAATGTGCCAACCCTGCACATAACCTATCACTATGCAATGCCCAATAGTAATTTTAACCAATCAAAAAGATCATGTTTGACTTGAGGACCCCGTGTAATACTAACAGAGGTTATTGGTTTCTTACCTTTTTAACCATTTGAATTTGATTGGCTAAATACTTTTTAACAAATCAGATTTGCAGAATTTGTCTGTAACCTTAGAATTATTCGGGGTCCTTTGCGGTTACCCAATTTTTCGAAGTTTGCTAGTCAATTTATAAGAATGCAAACGTCTTAATAACTAAAGCTTGTTTAATTAAGCCGACTAAGTCGACAAAATTTTATCGGATCGGCCAGGAAACAGTTTATGAAATATATTTCAATCCATTTATTATGTATTATGTACATTAGTATTGTTTTTCGCTTCTCTACGAAAATAACTATGAGAAGTGGTCCTTTCCAGCTTAAGCAAAATAGATTTAATTAGCAATGGTAGAATGTTTTCGAGGTTCTATTCTTGTTTAACTCATATTACTAATTTTGTATGATTTACAATTCATCATATACGTTCTATAGATGGTAATATAAATATAAGCGAACGAAAACTGATTTTATTAATTGTAAGTCATGTATCTAAATTGTTTAGCAATAATCAGTTGATGTACTTTTTCCTAAAAAATATATATATATAAATAAATAGATAAATAATATTTATACCTTGGAGTTGATGAGAATTTTGCGTAGGACTATAAAATAGTAATAAATTAATGACGAATAACAGTAAACGAATTCAATGTGAACTTTAATGGATAGTAATATAAACCTTAATGACTTTATTAACAGCTTCCAGGAAATCTTTCTCTGTCGCAACCTATTAAAACATTAATAAAATTAGTCATTAAATACGACTTAAAATAATACATATGTAATATAGTGAAAATTATATGTTTACCTTTCTTCTTGATCGGATGGCAAACATCCCCGCTTCAGTGCAAACACTACGTAGCTCAGCACCTTTTGTTATATACAAGGTTTTTAATTAAAAATACCAATTAATGAATAGCTACAAAAGATAATATATATTTATCCTATGTACCGGTACTATTCGGGCAAAGGCGCGCAATCAACTCATATCGAATGTCACGTTCAACTGACATGCTGATATAGCAGTAGAGTTAGTAAATTTCAAGTAAATGGACTGATTAGTCGGAATGAATATACCTTTTGGCATGAATTTTCAAAATATGCGAACGACCCTATCATTTAAAGATAATGAATTTGTGTGAACCTAGTAGTAATGAAAATCAATTCTTCGCAATATGTTTTAATCTACCTCTAAGTCTGGTAGAGAGAATTCGACTTTTCTATCTAAACGACCCGGACGTAAAAGTGCAGGATCTAGAGTATCAGGTCTGTTAAGGAAAGATATAAATTTTATTTTATTTTATGGTTTTTTTTTTCAGATAATTATGTAATAATATTCATACCTGTTTGTAGCCATTAAAACTTTAATGTTTCCCCGTGGATCAAAGCCATCTAATTGATTAATCAATTCTAACATTGTTCTTTGAACCTCGTTATCACCTCCGGCACCGTCATCATAGCGTGCACCTAAAAAACAAATTTTTATTTTTTATTTATTTTATTTTATTTTAACTTATTTTGTAAAATATATATGAACAGTACCTCCGATAGCGTCAATTTCATCGAAAAAAATGATACAAGCCTTTTTTGTACGTGCCATTTCAAATAATTCACGAACCATTCGTGCACCTTCACCAACATACCTAGCATTATAAATAAATAAATAAATTACAAAAGTATTGAAAATTATATCTATATTTATAAGCAGCACACGCACTTCTGAACAAGTTCGGAACCGATAACGCGAATAAACGTTGCATCTGTACGATTAGCCACAGCACGAGCACATAATGTTTTCCCAGTACCTGGAGGCCCATACAACAGTACACCTTTTGGAGGATCAATACCTAAACTGACAAAACGCTCGGGCTAAAAAAACGAAAATGTCAAAAAAAAACATTTTTTTCGATATATACGAGAGAAATTTCATCATTTTTACCTGAAGCAATGGTAGTTCAACCACTTCTCTAAGTTTTTCAATTTGTTCTTTACAGCCGCCAACGTCACTATAAGTGACATCCGGTTTTTCTTCAACTTGCATCATCGTCACCGATGGGTCAATTTTTGGAGGTAATGGGATTTGAATTTGATACTTATTGCGGTCAACACTAAAAGATGTACGAAAAGTATCAGCATCATGTTTTGCGATAGTGTGTATGAATAGACATGGCGCTGTATTGAGAAAAGTAACGAAATTCATATCCTTCAGACAAATAATAATAGAAACATTCATAAACGTTTCATGCTTATACTAAGGAACTAAATTACTTGTAAATTTATCTATAACTTAAGCTGATCATCTTACCCAACACGCATTCCTTCTTCAATATCTGTTGGAGAAACACGTTCACCTAAAGCGACGACAAATTTTGCAATTTGTTTTACATTTATAATGTATTTTGCATCTTCACTTTCACCATCTTGAATTATTTTAGTACATCGGGCTACCTGTAGACATTAATTAGGTAATTGTCATCATCAATAAATTTATTTGCTGAATTTTTATATCAAAGTTGTTATGTTTAACGGACTTGTAAAGGTTGTTCCTCTTGCATCCTCTGTTTGTCTGCAGGGATATCCCAAAGATTTGGCGGGGCAAGTCCGGTATCTGATTCTTTAACACCTATAAAAAAAAAATTTTAGAGAGCGATTACCTACTATTCTTGATGAATAAATGGACCAAAAAGAAGTAATTGAACATTACCGATCTTTTCATTTATACGTTTTTGTATGTCTTTTATATCTATATCGATCTTTTTTAATTCTTTGGCGTAAGGTCCTTGGCCCTATATAGAAGCAGGTCAATTTTATTAGAACGTTGATATAATTTTATCATAGAAAACGATATATTGTATGATCCTTACATAGGTTTTAAGTAATGCAATGTCACCTTCGTCAAGGGCTGTTTCAATATAAAAAAATTGTCGAATTTAAGCCATGTTAATAATAGTTTAGTAATTTTACGTGATCTTAAAGAAAACTACGTACCAACAATCTTTTCTTCCTCCTTTTCCTCGAGAGGTTTATCATCTTATAGTACTGTGGTTAGTTAAGCTAACAGCCGAAAGCTTCTCAGGAAAAAAATATACTTACATTTTTCCCAGTTTTCTTTTGGAGGCATGATTAAGTACGATATGAATTTATAACTGGTAGGTAGAATTCTATAATACAGTAAAAAACTGTCGCGATATATTACGTGTACTCGTAGTACTACGAATTCTCTGGTCGGCTGTAGAACGATTTATGCAATACACATGACTGTAACCGACAACTGGTTTCTAAATTTCAGTTGGCCGAACTTAATTATCTATCTGTCATACGTAGTTATAACATATCGGATATATATAGTCGTATATAGTAAAAAATTTTAATATGTAGGCACACAAAGTCAAATTATGACTTGGGTCATTGACCAATACTGATCGATAATAATGTCTGAAATTTAAAATATGACTTTATTAGCATTTAATACAGTATATATAACCTATAACCAAAAAGTTGCACATATGATTATAAAAAGAATGCTGACTTAGGCCATCGGTCGGCTTACCCTTACCCTAATGCCTAGAACTTAGTACTCTAGTCCTAGGCCCTAGTATTCGCAAATTATTAGCATTTCTAATTTCTTTTATTTTAAGCTTAGAATAAAATAAATTCAATTTATGTTATGCTAAGCTTTGTATAAGTGTCACATTATCTTAAAAGATCGATTCGGATCTGAAGTTTTATATTATATATATATGACATAAAAGTAATTGAAATCAATCATGTTAATAAAGGTAGACTACGTCCATTAGCTTATTTCAAGCTTGCCTATATTTATATCCATAAATAAAAATTAAAATAATCCACTTTGATGAACACTTTTTGAATACTTTATACAATTCAAACTTAGAAAATTTTATATTACATGTTTGTAAATTCACAAATTGCTTTTCAAAAATATTATACAACAAAGGTTTGATTTATAATCTCATAACACTTGGTCAGTTTTTTTGTCTTGCTATATGAAACAGATTCATCAAGTAACAAAGAAGGAAAGATAAACTGACAGCCCATCGCTCCAAACCAGAAGATGCTGCAATTAAACTGCAAGAATTTTTGCTGATCTTTCTCATGCGCTAAATGCCCCAATCTCATCGTGATTGAACGAAAAATTCGCAAGCAATCCTCAATTCGGGCAAATGAATTCAAAATTCAACCTTGCTAAGAACAATTCTTAATTTGTTCCTGCTGTTGCGTCAACTGACGACTTCGATTGTTCATTTACAGTTGATGATTGTGTCGATTTTATCACCTCCAAAATAAAGACGTATACTTTTTGAGCCTGTAACTTCATCCGTGCAATAATAATTGGTGAATGCGTTCGTATATTATCACTACACCATTGAAGTATAGTTTTACTCCATGCAATAACAACAGGTAAATATGTCCGTACTCTAGCATTACACCATTGGTGTACAATGGTTACTAGTCTTTTAACGGAATCAGGCGCATAATAATAATACAAAGGAACTATTAAAATAATTCGTTAATAAACCTATGTACAATCATTATAATGAATGTTAAATAAAATATATACCAGAATCTTTATAAGTCACCACGATCTTTTTTGCCATTTTACGGCAAGCTAAGAACCAGAAAGTTACACTGACAGATCCTTTGCAATAACAATAATGAGAATGAAAATATCATCATTAACAAAGAAAATAAAATGAAAATTATCCATATAAATTCGTGTTTTTATCAAACCTGATGGTGCAAACGGCAAGGAAAAAACCCACGTCACCGGACTGAACCAACCTTGTGGAAGATAAAATACTGGTGTCGAAAGAAAATAGAGCATCACAATAATTTGGATACCGTTGGACGCGACCCATAAAAATGAGGTAAATTTAATTTCGAATGACGTTTTTAAATATCCAAATGATGCCGCTACATAAGTTTTTGTGTTGATGAAATGTAAATTGTATTAATTAGAAATGTATAAGTCGTATATAAAAAAAAAAAAAAAAAGGTAAATTACTAATTCTTTCTAATTCATTCACTTTCTTATCCAATTTGCGTTTTAATCTTGCCCAATTAGCAAATTCGTCCTATATTAAGTACATCGTACGGAAAGAAATTGATCGTTCATTTTTAGTTTGTTGAAGAAACAAGTAACACTAATCGAAGCGATTGGAAATGGCATTCATGATTACTTTGACATTAATAACAACGGTGAAATATATATATATATATATAATGAAAAATATCTATCGATTTCCTACTTAAAAATTTAAGAACCTTTATCTTACCTGTGGACTAGTTCTTGCCAACTCCTGTCTGACGGTCAATATGGCTCTCTTGATCTTTCTTTGATTGTCTAATGTTTCTTTTTGAAAAATATTCAAGTAGACAATATAAGCCTAAATTAAAAAATAGTTATTAGTAAAGTCAGCCGCTGAAATTCTATTTATAAACACTATAATTAAGATATTAAGGAGTGCACACGTACTAAACTCGCGATCTGGGAGTATCCAAACCAAAGCATGAGTTCCGTTAAGAGAACGATCATTGCAATGAAAAAGGCCAAAGCCATTATGCTACAAAGAATTTTTAATTTAAAGTTAAATTAGTTATAATACAATTTCAGGCGTTTCGTGAAGACGCGAAGTAGTTTGTACGATAGGATCTATAGAAAAGGCCCATGAAAAAAAAAATTTTCAATAGAATGCTATAGTATTTGCCCAACCCCCAAGTTTTGGTTGAAATTGGATAGATTTGCTTTTCGATATGTCTTGATTTAGTGCGATTAACAATCGATGTTGGCATTATTCTGCTGGCTGATATTTTGGGCATTTTCAGTTTCTAGTACAACCTTTATTATTACTCTTACATACAATTTATTTATTCTATATATTTTATTTGCCGAAATGCAAACATTGATTGTACTGTATATACGTACGTGTACAAAAAACAAGATCGCTTCGTTCAATTTTCGTCTCAAAAGTTTTTAGCAAAGCTTTGTGCATTATTTCACACTCAATTTGCTTATGTAGACTAATTTAAAATTATTCTTTAAGGTTGAGCTGAGCGAGATAAATTTAAAAGAATTCTTTAATAAATTCCTTTTTTATAAAGCATATAGCAATAATTTTACTCTCAATCCAAAATTATATGCCGTCATCCTATCATTACCTTTAATGGTGTTTATCTTTCGTTGCTACGTACTCGTGTCCCGGCTATTTATAGGATAAAACCTGATTTACATAACGAAAATGAAACGTTTCTAACCGTTATATGCTAGCCTATATAAGTTAAAATTTTGATTTTTTTTTTGGGGGGAGAGGGGTAAGTTAATTTACAATATATGCTATAATTGAATATGATTGTAACAATGCAATATTTTTTAATATTGTATAATATATATATATATACTGTATACTGCATATTATTTTACAAAAAAATATTACTACAGTTTAATGAATTTTTGTCAAATTTTTATATATTAAAATTCTTTTATACTGTATATATATATAGTATAAACTTTAATATACTGTATATAATCTCTTGTTAATACTGTATCTAATATTACAATTAACATGAATTTAATAGGTTGTTATATTATAATTTTTAATACTATACAGTATTATAGTATATTGTATTTTATTTTTTATTTTTATTTTTTTTTGGCAATATTGTCTTTATTAATTAAAAATAGCATAACTTTATACTATAAATCTATTTTTTTTTTAAAAAAAAAAAATTCGGCAGTTATGCTTTAACTTTATTAGGCTTTGTACAAATCTTTTAGACTTATAAAATTTTACACTAAGTTGCATTTAAAAAGGTAAGTAATAAACTCTTAACTTGTTAGCAGATAGTGTATAAGAACTATTTTTAAATAACAAGCGCTATAGCATTAAACCTAATACAGTTAGACCTCCTTAAGTACATATTCCCTAAATGCATAGCCTCTCTAAATGTATGGTCTTACTTGGTCCTAACTTATATAACACTTGTAGATTTTTATCTCCTTAAATGCAATACCTCTCTAAATGCAAGATTTTTTGGTCACCCCTCACTATGCATTTAGAGAGGTCTGACTGTATTACCTAAATTACAAGTTAAAATTAACCTGGTTACCCCAATTAGTACCTATATTTGACCTGTTATAGCAAGATTTTTCTCTTTCCGGATCTCTTCTGCAATTGGATATGACCCGGCTCTCAATAGTGAATCTTGCCACCCATCATAATTATCTTCTCTTCTTTTAGACTTCTTCTACTTAAGCTCAACAATACAATTAAACCCTTATTTATACATAAAAGTAAAAATGTAAAACCATGTTTATGAAAGACATAAATATTTTAGAAATTTCTAAAATAATTTAATATAAATAAACAAAGATAAAAAAAGCGAAAAAAAAGAAAGTAGCCATGATACACTATTATAGTCTGTGTCAGATATAAAGATAAAAATTATATAATAATTGCAACTAATTACTATATCTTGATTGTAAAACCTTCAGTTTAACTTTAGGACTCATTCCGGATACCAACTCAACTCAGATATCTTCTAAATAGAGGTGATGATCTCTTTCTCATACCATAGCACTGTATTAATAAACAAAACAAATATGTAGTTGCATTTTACTGAGTCATCTGAATTAGATAGGTGTAAAAAATGCCAATCTTTTGGAGAGTTAAGCTAAAATGCTTACTTTTTTGTTGAAATTTTTAGTAAGAATGGCAAAAAGCAAAAAATACAGAGAAGACTACTGGTACATATTTAAATGAGTGTAAGTTCTAAACATCAACAGGTATTCCACAAGTTTGCACAGTACTCAGTTTTTTGGTAAGTAGTAAACTCTGGGCTTGTTGGCAGATAGTATATAAAAACTATTTCTAAATGACAAGTGCTGTACTGCTATAAGTGATAAACTCTAAGCTTGTCAGCAGATAGTATATGAGAACTACCTCTAAACGACAAGTGCAGTTCATCTTATACTCTTTTTCTATGTTTTACGTTTTTCTTGCAGTTTATTGTTTTTTAGTCAAAAAGTTTTTTGAAAAATATAGTCCAGATGATTGTCAAAAAGAGTTGCAATAGATTAAGCATGTAGTCTAGTTTATTAAATATACCTTGTATACTATATACTATTTGTATATATATATAGTAGTAAAATTTCTTATTTCTAATAAAGATTTATTTAATAACTTTTTATTTTTATTTATATTTTTTTGTTTTTACAAGAAAAATAGCTAAATATCTTTAAATAGTAGCTACTAGCTATATTAAAATCTAATTTTTATTGTATTTTTAGTAAAATTTTTTGGTTTAAATAGTAAAAACCAAACTGGTTTTATATACTATAGCTAGTAATAAATTTATTTATTACTGTATATTGTTTATAATATTAAAGTTTTTTTTTACTATACTGTATATATATTTTTTTTATTAATTTGGCAATTTTGCCTTTATTTTATTAAGTTTTATACAGTAATATTTATTTAAAATATTAAAATTTTCTAAAAAGCTAATATTTTTGGTATTTAAAATTACAAATATCAGCTTACCTGGTTGTTTTAAGAGTATCTATGTACAATTTGCTATAACAAAAATTTATTTACCTTTATATTAATTAACTTTGCAATTAAGTTCATTAATATTTTACCAAATAGTTTTTATAGCCTATCAAGACTGCCAAATTTTCTTACTAATTTTTTTTTTTCTTAAAAAACACAAGACAAAGAGTAAAAATTTTAAAAATCAAAATAAAAAAATAAAAAAAAAACACAAAATTTAAAAAAAAAACATAAAAAAAAACAAAAAACAGCATTATTAATATAGATTCTGTTATATAGTACACTGTGCACTGAGTACACCCCTGTATTTCAAAATTTTACTAAGAGAATCCCTGTCATATAATTAACCAAAAATGCTTCTCTTGTGATTTTAACCTAAAACTAAATTTAATTTTAACCCTAACCCTAATCTAACTCTAACACTAGATCTTAACTTTATCCTAATATTAGATGCTTATTTTGCTTATTTGCTATTAAAAAACAAGATGTACTCAGTGTACCGGTGCACCATTTAAATTTTTTTAATAATATATTTATACCTATGCCAAGATCTAAAATATTATATACTAATTACAATTTTTAATATATCTCAAATACAAAGTTTTACTTTATTATTAAATTTTCTTTTCCAAACATATGATTAAAGTTAGATATCTAGAGGTGTGACGACTTAGTATAGTGGTCTAGTCGTCACCCTCTCCAAGTGGCAGGTCTAGAGTTCAAATCCCATGGATGACAAATTTTGAAAAATAGCCTGTGTTATGGTTTACGGTTGTCGATTATCGGTTGGATCTAGAAATCTGTAAT